GGAATAATAATAATAATAATAATAATAATAATAATAATAATAGTAGTAGTAGTAGTAGTAAAACTTGAGAATAGAGTTACCACTGTATGAAAAGCAGGAGTGAGATTAGGGGAGAATCCATAAGAAGCTTCAAAAATCTTGAGTAATACATTAGTTCTTAATCAGTGGGTTAATAGGTGATCATGTTATTAATATGCTCCATAATTTCTATATTCCATATCTATATATGTGTGTGCTATATATCATGTTTCATATATTCTTTAAAATTCTGAGATGAAAAATTTAAAAAATACAATGAACTGTTTTTCCACAAAGGCCAAGAAAATCAGTAGAGAAAGGACAGTCTTTTTAGCAAATGGTCCTGGAACAACAAGATATACATATGGACAAAAAATTAACTCTATTCCTACTATTATATCCATGGAAATCTGCAATGGATTATAGATCTAAATATAACGTAAAAGAATATCTTTGCAACCTTACGGTAGGCAAAGACTTTTTAGGCAGTATTAAAAAAAAAAAAACGTGCTAACTATAAAAGACAAACTTGATAAAGTAAACTTCATTGACATTAAAAATATCTGCACAACAAAAGGCACCCTTGAGAAAATGAAAATCCAAGCCAACGATAAGGAAAATGTTATTTATACTTATAAATACATATATATTACATTATATAAATATATGCTGTCTTTATCAAATACATGTACGTGTATATATGTGTATATATGATAGTAGACTTGTACCTAGAATATATCAACAATGCTTACAACTCAATAATGAAAAGAAAATAAGTCAATACAAAAATAGGCAAAATCTTAAACAAATATTTTCCAAAAGAGAACACACAAATAGACAAAAGGCATAGTCTTAATCATAATCATCAGGAGAATGCAAAATTAAAACCAAGAAACCATGCAATTTTACACCTACCAGAATGCCTAAAATAGAATGACTGGAAATACCAAGTGCTGAGGATAATGTGGAAATGGAGGCTGTATATTGCTGCTGGTGGGAATGTAAAAATGACACAAGAACTTTAGCAAACTTTTCGTAAAACTATTCCAAGGTTAAAAATACCCTCAGTTTATGACTCGGAAATCCCACTCCTACTAAATACTTATCAAAGAAAAATGAAAATAGCTGTCTATAAAACTACTGGTATGAGAATATTCATAGCAGTTCTATTCACAACATCCCCAAATTGGAAGCAATGAAAATGTCACACAAGTGAATGTATAAATAAGTTGTGGCTTATTCATCTAATGGAATTCTACTCAACAACAACAAAAAAGAAGCAAACATGCCAAAATATATGTATCTCAAATACATTATGTTGATGAAAGTAGCCCCAGATCGGTTCACATTCTACAACTCCCTTTAAATGTAGTTTCAGAATTACACTTCAAAACTAGAGTGACAAAAATGATACATAGTGCACTGGGCAAGGAAGATGGGATTGGGTAAAGAAACCTAGTTTCTTTCTTTTGGAGTGTAGTGAAAATGTTCCACATCTTCATTGGGGTGGTGGTTGTCACATGGATGTTTACATGTATCAAAATTCATCAAACTACTAATTAAAATCAGTGCATTTCAATATATATACATTTTATCTCATAAAAAATAAAAAAATGAAATAAAATTAAGAGACTACGAGAAAGGAAAAACAAAAAATGAGTGGTTGGAAATTAAATTATTACCATGGTATATAGAAGCGTTGGAAAAGAAAGTTGAGACAACTTCTCAGAATATGGAACAAAAAGCAAATAGATGAAAACGTAAGAGAAAAGATAATAGACATAGTGAATCAAACCAAGAATTCCAAAACCACTTTACAGGAGTTTCAAAGAGAAACTTTCATCCTCTGTTGAGGAAAGACCAAGGAGAATAAATTATGAAAGACAGAATAGGAGAAAATTCCCCACAGTTAAAGGAAAATATGTACTTCAAATTAAAAAGGCTTATAATATTAAGGAGGATAAATAAAAATAACCATACTGAGACATTTGTCTTAGCTCCTTTGAATGAATTCATTGCAAGAAGAATAAAGTCACAAGACACGTCATCATAACTTTTCAAACCATCATACAAAACTAAAATTTTTTAATCACTCCAGAGAGTGGTACTGAACAAACAGTTCAGGTACCAACAAATTAAGATTAAGACTGTCATTCTCATCCTTTCATGAGCAATAGTGAAAGAAGACAAGGAAGCCTTGAAAGACTTAAAGAGACATAATTCTGTTTCTATACCCTGCCAAACTATCAATCATAATAGCAAAAAACAATTTACAGCCATACGAACATTAAAAAATAAAATTACCATCCACATATCTTTTATGAATGAATAAGTATCCTTAGGATGTATTCTATCAAAAGAGAGGAAAAAAATAACAGAAGATGTGTGGTTAAGAAACAATGTAACCTACCAAAATATAATATGATCAAATTAAACAGAAGGTGGGCTTCAAGAGGTACATCTTCAAGCAGAGAAATGGAATAGAAGCTTCTCATACAAAAAGTGAGAGGACATGGTGAAGAAAGCCTGATGGGAGCACTTGGTAAAAAAAAAAAAAAAGCACATGTACCTGTCTCCCAAAAGAAAACAGAAAGTCCTTTGTAAAAGTGAGGAAGGTTAAAAACTATATAGGAAGTATGTGATCCAAAAAATAAATTACACTTAACTATGGCATAATTTTTTTGTCATCACAGAGGAAGAAAGAAGAAATCAATTTGATGTTAATATTACAAGTCTTCTCCTTAGCGTGGCATAGAAGTCACGAAATTAATACATTGGTAAGGAAATGTATCATGGCATACTTTTTGGCTCTGGAATTAGAAATACTTACAAAGCCATAGTATTGTAACATTGTATTGGTTTCTAGCACATAATAAAGCAAAAAACAAATCATAGTCAAGAAATATAATGTAAATGTTACTCAATTGACAATGTCTAAGGAAAGGTTCAGATAAGGGAATGTAAAAGTGGTGGATGTAGTTTTTGCAGTGGCAGAAAAGAAGGTAGAGTCATTACTTTCCTCATTTTACCAAATAAGGAGCCAAAATATATTTTTGAAAATTGACATGAAAAAATAATTTTTATACATTACTTAAAATTATAACATTAATCAATATGAAAACTAAAAATTATAATAACCATTCAAAACTTTGGAGAAGAGAGGCTGAGGATTGTATGGGTTACCTTAAGAAGCCAATTTTAAAAAATGGGCAATTTAACTTATTACTCAACATATAGATCTAAAGTTAGAAAAGGTTAAAAGTGGTCATTTCTGAAAAGGTCTAAGGGTAGGAAGGGAGACACTAAATTGTTTCATTTTATCACACAATCCTTCTAGATTATACTATTTGGTTTTCAATTAGACTGCCTCTATCCAACAACTGAAAAGCAAATAACCAAATACAGAAATTGCAAATTATTCAAAAAGGTAAGACACTAGTGAGCATAAAACATTTCATCCATGTCCCACTTCAACTGCCTTCTAGGTGGGTGCACATAAAAAGGCTCACGTATATAGGAAATATACACATGGACTTGCTCACATTTGGTGGGTAGAAGAAAACTAGTAAGAAAAGAAAAAAAAAACAGAGCTGAGGTGAGAGATTGGGTAAAAACAACAACGTGAGCAGAGGGATTGAACATTCATTCATTCAACAAATATCCTGAACCTCGTTCACGTCAGGTGTTTTTTTCAGCTGCCCGGCCAAGGAGAGTGAATGAGGCCACCTCCGCCCTCAAAGGGCGGACTTGGACTTGGGAGTCCGAAATAAGAATGGGGACGGAATGGTACAAAAGCCGCCAACTTCATCATAAATAAAATAGTTCACATATTTCTCCAGCGGGCAAGTAATACTGGTTCGTTTATTGCATACACCTTCCGTCAAAAAAAAAAAAGTTGTCTTTGTGCCCCAAATACAAAGAACCAAGGGGCCTTGAAAAGCAACCACTGACCATTCCAATTGTCACATTCTCCCACCCCGCAGGGAACGTTCCCTCCCAACCACTGACTAAGCCTTTGAAACCAGAAACCAAACCGAGGACTTTGTATCGACGGTGAGCATCGGAGAGGGGACTCCACATTCCCTAACCTCTTCTTTAAATCTTCCTTTGAGACAGGGATGCAAGGGTTACTCGGCCTACAGTCAGCCAGCGGGGACTGCGGGGTAAACGTGCGCAGGGGAAGGCGGACCTTAGCGAGCGGTGGGCTCTGAGCCCCGCAGCTAGCAGCTCCACAGGTTGGCTCCTCCTGCTGTGGGCAAGTGGGGCCCCTCGCCGCACCTGCCGTTCCTCCACCTCCCGCCAGCCCCACCCACTACGACACACGGAGCTGACAAACCCAAATACCTGCCTCCGAGTCTGCGGACGCAGGCGGACACAAGACACAAGGGGATGGAGCTTCTTTCTACGCAGGGCCCCAGGTTGTCGCTGTGGCTCTTGCCGCCGCCGCGCTACTGCTTAGTGCATCAGACCCCGCACTTCAGGTGCTTCTACAAAAGAGGCCGCTCCGGGGAGCGCGGCGACTGCCCTTTGCCCGCGAGCTAGAGCCGCCGAAATTTCCAGCTCGGAATCCGGCCAGGAGCGCGAGTCCCACTCTCTCTCCACTGACAGCTCGCAGCTCTCCCCGCCCCCACCCTCACTTCGGCCCGGCCGTTTCCGCTGACCTCACAACCCCCACGACACAACATTGACGAAAGACCCCGACGCCCTGCGTTTTGCCCCTTGCCCAAACTGGTAACAAAAATGTGGCCACCAAGGAAGAAGTACAGGGTGCGGGTGGGGTTACTGGCGAAGGAGACAGAAGATGAAGAGCTTGAAGCGGCTGCACACAGGATCTGGGAGAGAGAATTTGGAGTTAAATCCGCGGAGCGCTCAGGCGTTCGGTGGGGACGCCTCGGTGGGTCCTTTCTCACTGCTGTCGCCGGCGGGAGGGCGTTCCTAACTGCTTGGGACGGAGGCTGCCCGGGTGGGTCTTCCTGGGTCGTGCTGTCCAGCGTTTCATGTGAGTGACGCCCCTGGCGGGGTCCTGGGTAGGCGGGTTGAGATCGAAAGAGTACCCCTCCCTTCCCTTGCTCGTCTAGGCGACATAGGACCTGGCCTGCACATCCTAGTGGAAGGTACGCTCATACCAGTACCAGTCTGGGCATGTGGAGGTAGGGCACAGCTTGGGACCTTGAAGGAACCACGTTTGAGAAATGGGACGTGGGGGCTGGGGAAGGGATGCTACTGGAGAAGAGATATATTCAACACACACACGTTTGCTTTCATGTGTGAAAGGACTGGGGTGAGGTTGGGGCAGGAATTCCTCCTTCGATTAGTTAAGCGACCAAGGCTTCGGGTATTGGGTAAAGAGCAATGAGCGAAACAGAAGCCCCTAGCTTCCTGCAGTTCACATTTTATTGTCGAAGACACGTAGTAGACAGAATTTTGGAAAGCATGCCATGTTGCAGGTTGTAACAGGCGCTGAAGAGAAAAAGAAAACAATAAAGCAGAGGAAGATACAGTTTGAAATTTTGGTGTGGCCAGGGAAGGTCTCACTGGAAAGACGACTTTCGAGCAAGAGCTTACATCACTGAGAAAACTAACCCTACAGATGTCTTGGGGAACTGCAGTCAGTCAGGTAGAGGGACCAGCCGTTGCAAAGGCCATGAAGCGGAAACTCCCCTGAAGAGCAAGGAAGATTGGATTGGAGCTGAGTTAAAGGGTTAAAATTGGAGACAAAAATCATAGAATGAAGAAGTCATGAAGGGTATTGAGGGCACCTGAGTTACTGGAGAGCTTTGAGCAGTGGCCCGTCGGATATAATCTGGCTTCCTTTTAAAAAGGATCTTACTGGCAGCTGTGGAGAATAGATTGAAAAGGACAGGGTGAAAGAAAGACCAGTTTTGGAGGCTTTTGTAGTAATCTAGAGGGGACACGATCGTGGCTTCAGTTAGGGCTGTAAGAAATGGCTGGCCAAGTTTTTCGTGCTCTTAGTTTAGGTGTGCAAGAATATTGGTGGATGGTGAGTTAATCTGTTTTAATTAAGGTTTTGGGAAACACTTTAAAATATGTAGTGTGAATTTCGGAGTGGCTAACGCAAGTTGAAAATCGTAGCCTTGCCATTTAATATTTGAGTTTATAATGTTTGGATTCAGACGAGTCATGTAATCTCTCCGAATTTTCCTATGGAATGGAAAATGTTATCCCACAAGGTTGGAAATCTCAAATGAGTTCATTTGTAACGTGCCTGGCCCATTAAAATAGTGGCTGTCGTTACTAGCTGTGTTCTTGGATAAGAAACGGGGAAAAGTACTGAGTGTTTCTGTGGATGGAAAGGGATGGTTAAACCCTATCGAAGAAAATCTGAGAGATCTAGACATACAGTTTTTAAAAATGTTATGCGTGTTTCACTGAACAGAAAGGTTTTCTCTGTTAATGGCCATAGTACCAGAAATATATGGACTGTCTTAGGGCAATACCCTCGTACCCATCCTTAAAGCCCTCTCGGACCCCCTGTGTTTTTATTAGTAAAGAAGAAGGAGGCATTGTGTTGAGTAAAGAAAACAAAATCAAGAATAAAAACAAATTTCCAGTTATAAAATGAGTAAGTCAGGGATATAATGAACAGCCCAGTGACTATAGTTAAAAAAAATACTGTATTTAAATGTTTGAAAGCTGGGAGAGTGGATCTTCAAGGTTTTCATCACAAGAGGAAAAATAATTTTTTTAAAGATTTTATTTATTTTGAACAAAGAGAGTGTAAGGGCCCACAAGCACAAGTGGGGAGAGGGGAGAGGCAGAAGAGGAAGCCAACCCTGCTGAGCAGGGAGCCTAATGTGGGGCTGAATCCCAGGATCCCAAGAACATGACCTGGGCTGAAGGCAGATGTTTGACTCAGGTGGCCCCCAAAAAATCTTTTTAACTATTTATGGTGAAGGATCTTAACTGGGCTAATGAGATCATTTTGCAGTATATATAAATATCTAGTCATGTTGTCTGTGCATCTAAAACTAACCTGATGTTGTGTCAATTATACCTCAAAAATTTTTAAATAAAAAAAGTAATACAGCCAATAAGTAGCAGAGCTAAATTTTGAATCCATTCCTTGAACACACACCAAATAAAAATAAAAAGAAATAAAAAAAAGAAACATTCACAAAAAGAACAGTTTTAGGTTGATTTTCTATATTTTGGCAAAAGTTGCAAAAACACCCCTGGAGTTACTGCCAGTTACCACTGTTAAATGAGTTATCTCTGGGATGCATCGTTCTTAGAATATTTAATTTTATTTACCTTTTTTAAAAATTCTGACTTTTGACATGTTTTAAATTGTAATAGTTTTAACCTAGTTCTAAATCGTACCACATTATGTAGCATGGTAATAAACATATTCTTCATATGGGGTGATTTGGCAGTTAGATTACAAAGCAAACAGAGGAGCGAAGATTGGAAGTTTAGATGAAGTATTGATGGTAGTAGGAAAAAACTGATTAAAGTTACTATGGTTTATTAATCCTGACACACATGCTTTTCTCATATTTACTGAAATAGTGGTGCATTTTACAATTGTTGGTGTCTTAAAATCACTATGAAGTGGGACTCCTGACATACTTGTCAGTGACCATACCTATGCATACTTGGTCATAATTGTTAATATTGTCATCAGTTTAATTATGTATAGTATTGGTATATAGTAGTTGACTTTAATCTCCATTTTAAGTGTCCTTTTTATGATGACTTACCATTAAGATGAAAAGCTGCTGTGTATGAAGAAATACAGGGAAATAAAAAGTGATATAAAAATCGAGCTAGATTTAAGAGATTGTTCAAATATTACAGGATGTGTGCTTTTTTCTTAATGGTACATAAAATGACAGCATCGAATTGGAGCAATTTTACAATTGGCGGCATTTAGATTTGATAAAATTTAATACTTATAGCATCTAGGAAGAGTATAAACTTCTACCTAACTGAAGTTATGAAACAGTGAAATCAGGTGTTTTGAGAAGTTAGACACTCCCAAATTGTAGTAGAATTCCTATATTATAAAATAAAATTGAAAACTTGAACTTAAAACTTCCATTTCAAAGCAATAGCTCATTTTTTTTTAAAGATTTCATTTATTTATTAATGAGAGACACAGGGGGCGGGGGTGGGGGGTTAGAGGGAGAAGCAGGCTCCATGCAAGGAGCCCGACGTGGGACTGGATCCCGGGTCTCCAGGATCAGGCCCTGAGCTGAAGGCGCCCCTAAACCGCTGAGCCACCTGGGCTGCCCAAGCTCATTTGTTTATATTTAATCCCTAATGTTGAAAACGTGAGACAGGGAACTTGTTATTTAAAAGGAATTACTGGATATAGTACTGATGAATCCCTGAACTCTACCTCTGAAACTAATAATATACTATATGTTAATTAATTTAATTGAAAAAAATAAAAGGAATTACTGGCAATTTAGAAACAGTGAGAAAAGACTACTGAGGAAATTGCTGAGGTAAAGGAAAGTCATTTGGTAATGACAGAAATCTCAGTCTTGTATACCTTTTAATGATTAAGATGTCTAAGTTCATGTATTTCATAAAATCAGCCTCAGCTTTTATGGTTAGTGGCATCTTAAAATGGCTTTTTTTTTGTAACCAAAATTAATGTTAAGAGGCAGAATAATTTAGGTAACACCTTTCAAATTTGTCATAAAAATTAGGTCGTCATTTTTTTTAATTTAGTAAAGGAGGAAAAAAGTCTATATTTAAACTCTCCAAAAACTCTTACTATCCAAACACAACATAACTTGTGTACTCTTTTTTTCTCTATGTGTTTTACATTTGCAATTACTGTGAGTACAGTTAAGTATTATTTCTTTTTTCTTCTATGTGTTTTACATTTATAATTACTGTGCATGATTAAATATTAAACCTGTTCTAATGCCCTAATCATTAAATGAAATTTAGTACAGATGAAATCAGTTTTCCCAACTGTTTTAGAGGATACTAGTTCTTTATTTATTTATTTATTTATTTATTTATTTATTTATTTTAATTTTATAAATTTATTTTTTATTGGTGTTCAATGTGCCAACATACGGAATAACACCCAGTGCTCATCCCGTCAAGTGTACCCTCAGTGCCCGTCACCCATTCACCCCCACCCCCCGCCCTCCTCCCCCTCCACCACCCCTAGTTCATTTCCCAGAGTTAGAAGTCTTTATGTTCTGTCTCCCTTTCTGATATTTCTCACATATTTCTTCTCCCTTCCCTTATATTCCCTTTCACTATTATTCGTATTCCCCAAATGAATGAGAACATACACTGTTTGTCCTTCTCTGGTTACTGTGGCCAAGTTCAAAAAGGGTGTTGCCTGAGTTCTCCTCTGGGATTTTGATGGAGTCTTGTCTCACATTTAGATCTTTCATCTATTTTGAGTTTATCTTTGTGTATGGTGCAAGAGAGTGGTCCAGTTTCATTCTTCTGCATGTGGATGTCCAATTTTCCCAGCACCATTTATTGAAGAGAGTGTCTTTCTTCCAGTGGATCGTCTTTCCTCCTTTATCGTATATTAGTTGAGCATAAAGTTCAGGGTCCACTTCTGGGTTCTCTGTTCTGTTCCATTGATCTATATGTCTGTTTTTGTGCCAGTACCACACTGTCTTGATGAACACAGCTTTGTAGTACAACCTGAAATCTGGCATTGTGATGCCCCCAGATATGGTTTTCTTTTTTAAAATTCCCCTGGCTGTTTGGGGTCTTTTCTGATTCCACACAGATCTTAAAATAATTTGTTCTAAGTCTCTGAAGAAAGTCCATGGTATTTTGATAGGGATTGCATTATACGTGTAAATTGCCCTGGGTAACATTGACATTTTCACAATATTAATTCTGCCAATCCATGAGCATGGAATATTTTTCCATCTCTTTGTGTCTTCCTCAATTTCTTTCAGAAGTGTTCTGTAGTTTTTAGGGTATATTTTGAGAACCATTTGAATGGTAAATGGTTCTCCAACCTTTTATTTTCAGGTTGTAGGTGTCCTTCTGTCTAAAATGAGTCTCTTGTAGACAGCAAATAGATGGGTCCTGCTTTTTTATCCAGTCTGAAACCCTGCACCTTTTGATGGGGTCATTAAGCCCATTCACGTTCAGAGTT